AGGTGTCGGGGCCCCCCCAGCCAGGCAGAGCTTTGGGCTGCGGGGTACAGCTTGTGGCAGGAGGGGACCTGCAGCCTGGGACCCCTCTCTGGGCAGAAGCCTCCACTGCCTCTCTGGGGAGCTGGCCCAGATTCCAGGGCTCCCTGCCACCCCACCCAGCAGGTCCTTGAGGACCCCTGGCCAGCGGAGCCCCCTGGGCCAGGCAGGAGGGAGGTGCCGTGGCTGCTCCGCTCCGCCTGTGCCAAGGTGGAGGGTTCGGGCGACCTTTCCCCGTCCTGCCGCGTACCCGGCGGGATGAAAGGTCGCTGTGTTCCCCGAACATCATCTGCTCCGGACGGACCTCGGTGTACCAGCAGGGGTGGGAGGGACACCATGGCCGGCCTTGGTGCCTGGCTCAAGGCTGTTCCCACGGCTCTGCCGGGTGCTGGTGCCAGCAGTGTGAGGGCTGCGGGTGGGATGGGTGTCCCGCAGGGTCCGGGCCACCCTGATCCCTGCAGACCCCTCAGCTCTGCCTGCACAGACTGACCCAGAGCTGCCGGGTGGGCTCTCCCTGTGGTCTTGACCCCTCTGCCCCCCCTGGGTGCTGTGGCAGCTTGTGAGCACGCATGGGTGCCGTCCCCATGCAGGGGCAGGGCCAAGCACACGTGTGGGGTGTAACCAGGGCCAGGAGTGGAAAAACAAATAGTGTGGAGCTGATGGGTGCTGGGGCCGGTGGCATCGCCTGGGGTGGGACTGCTGATTCAGCCTCCCCAGGGCTTGTTCCTCCGTCGCTTTCGGCCTCCCCCAGGCAGCCCTGGTCCCACCGCAGCCCGGGTTGCTGTGGCATCGGACACTGTGGGACACCTCCTTGGCTGCCACGGGAGGGGAGCAGAGCCCAAATCCCTTGGGAGTGTTTCTGCAGCATTCAGAGCAGGGGGAAGGTTTGGGGGTGGGCAGAGGAGCAGGCAGGGAGCAATGCTCCGGGCAGCCCTGCCTCCCCCAGCCCCCTTGGTTTCCATTGTTTCCCCCTGCAGTTCATGATGATGAGGATGCTGCTGTCAACAGGATTGCGTAAGTTCCTGCCCGACGGGTGCTCGGCCACTTCCTCCCCCTGCCCAGCTGGGCCACCGCGGCCCCCCAGCCCATGGGGGCCGGTGACCCGGGGGGCCATGGCCAGGCTGTGACCCCTGCGGGGGCCCAGACCCAGTGCCGGAGCTGATGCTCGTCCCTCCCACAGGCTGGGGCTCTGCACCTTCACCCTGGCCGTGGCGCTGGGCGCTGTGCTCCTGCTGCCCTTCTCCATCATCAGCAACGAGGTGCTGCTCTCCTTCCCCCAGAACTACTACATCCAGTGGCTGAACGGGTCCCTCATCCACGGTGGGTGCATGGGGCAGCCCCAGCGTGCCCCAAGGGGTGCGGGTCAGGGTTGCCCCCCCCAGGAGCTCACCCCACACTGTCCCCCCCTCCAGGCCTCTGGAACTTGGTCTTCCTCTTCTCCAATCTGTCCCTTGTCTTCCTCATGCCTTTTGCCTACTTCTTCACCGAGTCAGAGGGCTTTGCGGGATCCAAGAAGGTAGGTGGCTCTGTGGGTGCGTCCCCCCCCCCGTCACCCCTGTCCCTGGCTCCTCGCTAACCCCACTCTCGCAGGGCATCATGGCCAGGGTGTACGAGACGTCGGTGGTGCTGCTGCTGCTGACGCTGCTGGTGCTGGGCATGGTCTGGGTGGCCTCCGCCATCGTCGGCAACGACGCAGCCAGCCGCCAGTCGCTCTACGGTGGGTGCTGCCGGGGTATGCTGGGGCTCTCCCAGCTCCGGCGGGGCAGGATCGGGCCATGTGCTGAAGGGGAGGAGGGATGCCTGGTGCCACCGGCCTGACCCTGCCATCTCCACAGACCTCTGGGAATACTACCTGCCCTACCTCTACTCCTGCATCTCGCTCTTCGGCGTGCTGCTTCTGCTGCGTGAGTCGTGGGACGTTCCCCCGAGGTGCCGCAGCCCCGGTGGCTCATCCTGTGCCTGGTGCAGGACCCCGGGGTGCCTGGCTGGGAGCAGGGGCTGCTCCCTGCAAATGGTGCCAGGGTCCGGAGGGGTCGCGGTGCAGGGCTGAGCTCCCAGTCCTATCCAGGAGCCTTCTGGGGGCATGGGGAGGGGTAGGATGCTGGGTACCCCCTGCTTAGCCTCTCCTCCTGCTGCAGTGTGCACCCCCTTCGGCCTCTCCACCATGTTCACCGTCACGGGGAAGCTGCTGGTGAAACCCCGGGTAAGGTGTCCCCCTCCGTGTCCCGCTGCCGCAGCCAGGGGCCTTGCTGACCCCGGGGCTGCCTCCTCTCCCATCCTGGGCACGAGGTGCCATTCACACCCCCCTGCTGTCTGCTCACGGGCTCTTCACCCATCCCCAGCTCCTGGAGGACCTGGACGAGCAATTGAACTGCACGAGGCTCGAGGAAGCCTCCGTGTCCCGCAGGATCTCCTCTGGTAGGTGCCTGGCATGGCCGCTGGCCGGGAGGGGGGGCTCAGGGCAGAGCGGGGGCCCCTCTGCCCCACCACATGGGAGCCCTCAGCCCCCACGAGCCCCTCGGCATCTCCTTCCTGGCAGGCAAAGCTTCCTGCTGGCTGAACTTGAACGTGGAGCTGCTGCGGGAGCAGTTCTTCGCCATCCGGAGCAAGAGGCGGAAGCTGGGTAAGCAGCCTGGGGGGGGAAGCCCAGGATGCCTGGGTTCTCTCCAGCTTGGCACTGGGAGCACTGGTTTCCCAGGAGCCTGTGTTCCATGGAGGGAAGGTGGGGGTGAAATGGGGTGGGGGCTGTAACCCCCCACCCTGGCACCTCAGGGTCCCCCTCAATCTCCTGCCCTGGGGGCTTGTGCTCCCCTCTCACCTGGGCATGTGCCCCCCACAGAGCTGCGGCACCGAGCATCACCCTGGCAGAGGAACCTGGGCTACCCCCTGGCCATGCTGGGCCTCCTGGCGCTGACGGTGAGTGGCCCTGGGCTCTCCAGGGAGCTGGGGCTCATCCCTTCCTCCCCCCCCAGCCACCCTCACTCCCTCCCTGCTCCTGCCAGGGCATCTCCGTGCTCATCGTCTGCTTCCACGTCCTGGAGCTGCTGCTGGACGATGCCGCGATGCCACGGGGCATCCAGGTACCTGGGTGGGGGGACAGGGGACAGCGCGGAGTCGTGTCCCACACCAGCCTGGGACCCGCTCCCCCGCAACCTGCCTCCTCCTCTCCCGGCAGGATGCGTCCCTGGGCCAGGTCTCCTTCTCCATCTTCGGTTCCTTCGGAGCTGCCCTGCAGGTCATCCTCATCTTGTATCCTTCAGGCGGGCACTCGTGTCCCCAGCGCTGTCCCCAGGGCCACCCCACCCCGTTCTCCTCCTTAACGCCCCTCGCAGCTACCTGATGCTCTCCTCCGTCGTGGGCTTCTACAGCTCCCCCCTCTTCACCCGGCTGCTCCCCGAGCGGCAGGACACCCCCCTCACCAAGGTGGGAGCGCTGGGCTGGGGCTGGGGGGCTCCTGGGCCCCCCTCGGGGTGCAGGACCCCTGGTCCCCGCAGTGCATGGTTGTGTGTGTCCCTGTGTGCTGTGCGGTGTCCCCACATGAGGCCACCACGTGTCCCCCCACCTCCCGCTGCCTCCAGCACAGCCCCGGGCACGGGCAGGGTCCCGGTGGGTCTCTGGCACTGGGGAGCCCCTTCCCCAGCCTGGCAGCACCGCACCCCCCCAAATGCTCCTTCGTCCCCCCCAGATCATCGGGAACTGCGTCTCCTTGCTGGTGCTCAGCTCAGCCCTGCCCGTCTTCTCCAGGACATTGGGTGAGCCCCTGGGGGGGCCAGGGTGACCCTGGGAGTGGGGTGTCCCCATGACTGGGGTGCCCTGACCAGCTTCCCCCACCACCACCCTCAGGGATCACCCGTTTCGACCTCCTGGGGGACTTTGGCCGCTTCAACTGGCTGGGGAACTTCTACATCGTCTTCCTCTACAACATGGGCTTCGCGGGCCTGACCACCCTCTGCCTGGTGAAGAAAGTGTCCTGGGCCGTCCAGGCCGAGCTCATCCGCGCCTTCGGTGAGGACAGGGACGTGAGGACAGGGGGGCAGGCGCTGGGGTGTGCCCCCCTCCCCAGCTGTCACGCTCCCCCTCTGCCCAGGTCTGCACAAGCTGCCGCTGCCCGTGACGCGCTCCCGGCGCCCTGGCAAGCCCTGCTAGGACTGGGGGACGGGGACGTGTCCCCTCGTGCCACGGTGGCCCCCAGGACGTCTGCCAGCCACAGAGCCGGCCCCGATGGCACCCGGTGCTTCAGGGATGTCGGAGCCCCCCAGGGAGAGCTGAGACCCTGGGGAGGGCCTGGCCCCCTCCCCCCAGGGCTGTCTCTGCCTGCTGTGCTACTGAGCCTTGGCCTTGAGCTGCGTCCCCTCCCCAGCCCCCCCAGGGGCGTGGGGTCCCCCGGGGGCTGTGCTGGCTGCAGCCCCCCCGCCCCATTTACATACTTCCTTGGGGTGCGGTTGGGTTTTTAATGTGTGTCCCCCCCCGGGGGCTGTCCTGACACTACAGTGGGGGCTCTGTGCCCCCCCGCCCACAGTCACTCCACACCCCATTCCCCTGTCACCCAGGGCTGCCAGGGGGCACCGTTTGTCCCCTGCCCCAAGGCCTTCGGGGTCCGCAAGGGAGGAGCAGGGCCGGAGGGTCCTGGCTGCCCCCCACCCCAGGAGCTTGGTGTGATGAGTCTGTCAGGTCTCTGTTACCATGGAATTTGTTTGGAGCAATAAACAAAGTCTCTTTTTTTTTAATATAAAAATATCCTAATCTGGGGGGTTTTATTCCTGTTGAGGGTGGAGGGGGTCCCTGCCTGTGGGGGTCCCAGTCCTGCCCCCCCCCTCCCCCCTCCCC